TGTATTCACATTTCAACCAATACTTAAAGAGTATATGCATGTTTATGAGATCAATAGTACTAATAAATAGTATTCAAAGACAAATCAAATTGATGTGAAAAGCGATTCTAATGGCTGTGACTATTTCTTTCCTTAATAATATATCAAATCTAAATGTCTACTTGTGAATAAGAATGGAAAAAATGTTAATTTAATAAGGAAAAATCAAAATGGTCATTTTATCACGTAATAGTCTCTTCAATTTGGGCATAATTAATTATATGGATCGATGAGTGAAAATGGACAGTATTTGATGACTTGGGATCAAAATTCTAAAGAAATTCAAATCAGGAAATATTAGTAATTATGAAAAACAATGAATCAATCATTATTCAAATTATAGAAATATCATTAACTCTATATATAATAAATTAATATTGTTTTAATTCTAGAAAGATTAAATCTAACTTTTAGAAGAAGATTGATTATTAAAAATATTCGAATCTTTAAAGTGGTAGTTTTAAAATATACTAGAGATCTAGTAGAGCGCTCTTCCTAATGTCCAAATTCATTAGAAATGAAAAGCTAAAAATTATTTTAATAAAATTGTAGTAGTTTTAGTTCGATTTAATTTATCTTCTAATAATGAAACCCCAACTATAAGTTGATCCTTACTTATTTTCACTTAATTTGTCTTTAGACATCAAACAATAATTTTTGTTTACATCACCTCTCTGTTCCTAAAGATTTCCTTTCTGTTTCAAATAATAAGAATTTAAATTTTCATCTCTAAATCTTATTAGGTAATTAAGCTTGAAGAAATTGTATGTAGATTTTCATCTATTTCTTAAATCAATTTGATTTTAATATGAAGATTTATCCGCCATAAATTATCAACCATTAAATTTGATTCACTCTCCCTTTTTTTAAATTAAGATCCAATCTTACATGACTTATTAAGACGTGAACCTTGTTGTCTAATTTATCAATAGGAGGTTGTTATTTCTTATAGCTGCATCAAGGATCAGAGCAAAAAAATAGTCATCTTCTGGTTTTCTTGCTATTTTATGATTGATTAAATTTTCTTTATTTAACTTATTGATATTGATATTTGTTTGCTCTAAATTTAACTAATTTGAGGTTAGTTTTCATATTAAAGCAAATTAATTTAAAATTAAATGTTTATGATTGATAAAAAAACAAAGTTGTACTTAAACTTAATTGAGAAAATTTATTTTTGGGAATGTTAAACAACTCAAGCCAATAAAAAGCAAAAAATCAACTACTCATTATTTATTATCACAATTATTTTTCTTTAATTTTATATTAATTAAAGGAATTTAAATAATTTAAACCTATGCGCTCTTCATTTTCCAATATCCAACTGTTTATTGGGTGATTTACTTTTAGGGATTTAAATACTTTGTGGTATTATCGAGGAGCTAAATATACATAAAAATAATTGGCCATACCATAATATATCTAAGTTTTCCTTTACTTTGCAAAATTATAAAATAATATGAAAAACATGCTCACTTTCAGTTTATTAAAAATTAAAATTTTTTTGAAATTTCTTTTGATAATATTGAATGAAGAATTAATAAATAGTTGTGAAATGTAAAAATAAGGTAGAAGAATGTATTTTAGGAGTTTAATAGGAGATGGAGGTAAGATATTAAAATGATAATTAGTTGTCTTTCAGCAGAATTGATGCATTTCTTGATTAACTTCCTCTTGTTTCTTATCAACCTGTTCCTCACAAAAGCGTTAATGATGCTCCAAAATTAACTTAGATCTCATTCTCTTTAATACAAAACTATACCAATTAATTAAATTAACAAGTGGAACCCATTTTGAAATCAATTATTCATTAACAATTTCAAAATCTAGCTTAAGTTTAATAATCAGATAAATATACAAAAGATAATAATCAATAATTACATCCAATTTAATAACACAACCAACATTAATCAAATTCTAACCCATTCACTTATAATTTAATACAAAATCATTCAATTAAATAAGAGGAAGATTGTAGAGCAATTGCTATTAATAATGATAATTCAATTGTATTAGTTACATGTAAAAATGAGATCAAAGTACTTGAATTTAAATAAGAATAGTTGAAACTAATTCAACTTTTAAGTGAACATAAATATTAGGTTTATACTTTAAATTTTATGAAGAAATCGACTCAATTTATCTCTGGGAGTGGTGATAAATAGATAATAATATGGTGTATGGATTAACACAATTAATGGATCTGCTAATACAAATTGAATCAACATTAAGATATTATTAATTGTTTAATTTTGAATAATAATGAAGATCTTATCATATCAGGAAGTAATGATAAAACAATTAAATTTTGGAAAAAACAGAATCAATGGATATGCTCATAAACTAATACAGATCAAACTAATTATGTAACGGGATTAAGTTTGAATGAGAAATAGGATAAATTGATATCTTGTGGATATAATATGTTTATATTAATAATAGAAGAGTCATAATAGGATTAAAAATGGAATGTTATATAAAAGATAACAGTTGAATAGTATGGTTTCAGATTAAGCTTCATCAATGATAATGTATTCACATTTCAACCAATACTTAAAGAGTATATGCATGTTTATGAGATCAATAGTACTAATAAATAGTATTCAAAGACAAATCAAATTGATGTGAAAAGCGATTCTAATGGCTGTGACTATTTCTTTCCTTAATAATATATCAAATCTAAATGTCTACTTGTGAATAAGAATGGAAAAAATGTTAATTTAATAAGGAAAAATCAAAATGGTCATTTTATCACGTAATAGTCTCTTCAATTTGGGCATAATTAATTATATGGATCGATGAGTGAAAATGGACAGTATTTGATGACTTGGGATCAAAATTCTAAAGAAATTCAAATCAGGAAATATTAGTAATTATGAAAAACAATGAATCAATCATTATTCAAATTATAGAAATATCATTTACTCTATATATAATAAATTTTAATATTATTTTCAGATTTAGAGAAA